GATGAAATGAAACACGGAACCAAAAAGCTTTGGACCGGGACCCCCTACGCAGGAAGCATGGTGTCAGGAAGCAGCCACTTAAGCTCATGTGCCATCTCAAACTGACCAGAGATAGCATGTGCACATCGAGGGATGATTGCTCATTCCCTCCTTCCTGAGCTCTGCCAGGAAAGAAATTCGAACGTGCTTCAAAAGTCCAGCCACCAGAGTCCGCAAGCGGAGAAGCGATTCCATTGGGTAAACTCTCTCTAGCATCAAAAGTGGTGGATTGCCTAATAAACATGCCTGGACTGCGTTTAGACATGTCACTGGCGCTAATCTCAGAAGTGCGTGGAAAGTGTGACGTCTGTTTCGTCCTCTTGCAGGAAACGGTGGCACATTTGAAATACCTGTACTGTACACTGAAAGGTTGCTCTATGGAGATGGCTCCCAACAGAGAAAAGTACTGAATGGATGATTCAATCAACTGCAGCAGAAAAACCGTGCTTGTGCTTTTTGCAGGCTAAGGACGGTAGGGATTCCTTCACCAAAATCGTTTGTGTCATCTCACGTTGGAGGATCAAAGTTCGGGTGAAAGTCCCCGCACTCAGTTGACATCAGCGGTCGGGCCATGTACATAGATCTCTCCTGCGACCGCGACGTGACTCATGGTCTCATGGTCAGACCGATTGAAAGGCAGACCATCATAATTTAGATTTAAATTTTAATAATGGCTTCTTGTTACTATAGCGTCGGACTGGAACTTAGAATGCCGTTTTGGGATTCTACAATGGAAAAAAAACACCAGGACGGACATGGCAAATACATGTATTCACGGACATGGCAAATACATGCATTCTAAGTTTGCCTAGTGAGACCAGTTGGAATGTGTCCCAATTGTCACCTTGACACTTAGAATGCAGCCCCTGTTGGCTACAAAAAATATAAAGTTGTGCCTCAGAGTAACCTGATTTCACATGGTTTGGACACATAGAATGCTTGCGCGGCCGGCCTCGAAGTGCATGGAGAATGAAAACAACATTTGAAACTTGTATAACTCTGTATAAGTTTTCCTCAAAGTAACCTGATTCACCCAGTTTGGACACATAGAATGCCTGTGCGCCATCCATTCTCTTTCAGGTGCATGGAGAACAACAACCTTTGAACATGTCAGAACTTTTGTGTGCATGTTTCAGCAAATGCTCAGTTCAGTTCCAAGTCAGATCGGATCGCATCTTGCAATCAGCTCAATTTCAGTTGAATTCGCGGGTCACAAACAAAGCTATGGAGGAGTTGAGCAAGCGTTTGCTGGCTCACGGACCGCCAGGAAAGGTTTGTGTGTGGTTTTCCAAGGAATGACACAAGCTGGTGTGGCTGGCTTGGATGCAGCGGGGCTTCGTGAATGTGCAGGACATTGCGCAGTGGCGATTTGGAGGAGAAGTGGTCAAAAGAGTCAAAGGACTTTTTGTCATTGTTGTATGCACACGTATGCTGGATGTATGATTGGTTCACCTAAAGTGTGCCCCTCTATCCTACCTTTACCTCCAGCTTTTGTGTATATGTATAGCTGTTCTTCTTTCTTAACCTGCCTTTCCCGGCATTCTAAGTGTATGAGTGTGTATATATATATAAATACACATTCCCTGGGTCCTTTTATTTTGTCTGGGACAGGAAATGAAGACAAGGTGAGGGAGTGCATGAACAGAGCCAAGAACTCCATGCAGTCCATTCTGCAGCTATCGGAACTTCCAAACCTGGCAGCTGATCCAAATGAGCTTGAAGAGTTGGATATTATGAGACATTCTCCTCTTCAAGATGAGGAGCAGCTACACCGGGCTGTGCAGGTGGATGGCAACGTGGAGACGCGACAGGCCCTACCACGCTGGCTCTCACGGCGCATTGAAAGGAGCATCAGCAAGTGGACTGATGAGCATTCTGCCAGGATGGATAAGATCGATGAACGAATGCATATTGGCAAGAACTTGACTCCTGCCATGCAGAGCAAATTCGAGCGATGGAACCAGGACCGTGGATCTTGCCAGTTCCTTTTCTCTAAGAAGAGGCAATGTCAGATCACGAGCATTCGCAGCGATGCAGATGTGAGGAAAATGGAGAACGAGCTCCTCTCCGTGCAGGTGGCATTCTCCACAGATCCCAGTGAGCTTTTGCTGAAGGCATCAAACGGAGAGGCCAAGAGGCTCGTTCTGCTCAGAGGCACTCCTTGCCAAGATGGAGCTGTTCCAAGTTTCTTGGATCAAAAGCCTTCCCAAGCTGAACTCCAGACCATTTGGACGGAGGAGAATGAGCAGGAGGAGCCAGAGGCTGAGGGTGATGCGGAAATTGATGGCCACGCAGACCAGGAGGAGGCCATGCTAGAGGAAGATCGTGCCGACAACCTGGAGGTTACCGGAGAGTTCATGGCTGACAGCAGTGAAGAGGAAATTGTGAGAGAGACTGTCCCCTCTGGCTTCACTCGAGTCAAGAGTTTTTTCCATCGTGAGGCCTACAAGAAACTTGCAAGCCAGGGCCTCACAGAGATTCCCCCTTTGACTGGTTGCCTCCTGGCCTACCACACCACGACTCGGTGTTGGCAAGGGTATTTCCCTGGATGCCACACTGGCTTGACCATGACATGGGGCGGTCGATCAAAGAGAACAGAATCTGAGGCAATTATTGGAGTGATCCTCAAAATCCTAGAATGCCATGTGGCCCAGTCTCCAAAGGACAAGCTCTGGCAGAAGCAGCTTGAGAAGGTCCGACTGGCACAGGCCACTGTTTGCAATTTGTGACCCGGAAAGTGCATGCTTAGACTAGATGCCTCACTATAGCAGGCAGCATTCTATGTGCGCATTGGGTGGTGTTTGTGCATTCAAAGATGTATATTTACACATTGGTAACAACGTAGCATTCTTACTGTTGAGTTCCCTGGTGTGAAACAGCTTTTGAAGTTTTTTCCAAGGTCACCGAGTATATACAGCAGTATATATATATATTATACTATATATATTATATATACACTGTATATAAAGACTCAACTCGGTTCACGATTTTCTTTTTGCAGTGCAAGACCAGGTGTTTCATGTGCACTGCACTGCTCGCGCAACTTTGGTCGGGGGTACGACCTCAATCCCGGGGTTTGCCGGGTACTGTATAAATTTGGAATATAATACCTGGTCTTGGCACAGATCTCACGAGATCTCTTTGCACAGAAGGGAGGTTGGCCACTGTGGCCAAAAACAAGGACTTTGCATCCGCGTGGTCAAAAAAAGAGCTCTCGCAGCAAAACGATTGAAACGTCTTTGCTGACATGTGGCAGTGGACATTTATTTGTCCCATCTGAGTTGTTTTCTCTGCAATGGGTTTGGGGAAGTGTCGGACTGAAAATTAGATTGCTATGGATACCTATCTGGGGGCATTCTAACTGACACTGACCACTGGGCAGACGCATTCTTTATGTATGATGGAAAAAATTTGGGATTCAACACCGCATTCTAACTTTCAGTCCGACACTATAATGGCTTTTTGTTACTACTAGCGTGGCACTTGTTACTACTAGCTACTATATGCCAGATCGGGAAACTGGATGGACCCGCACAACCCAGGAGTTGCGCGCACGACCCGGAACCGCTTAGCCTATTGATTCCTGTGCTTGACTACCCCTGTGCTTGACAGTGTGCGACACTCGTACAACCCAAAAAAGAAGAAAAACCCAAGAGACCTGCTGAGGCGCCAAGGGGGAGTAGTGAATTTCGCTCCTTCACTGCTCAATGCCGTTTCTTGGCGGCCGCGTCCACCATGGACGCTATTAACCCAGCTCACGGATCGCTTCTAAGGGTGAACTCTCCAACCACGCCCACACCCCGGCTCGCCCCGTGGATCACGCCTTTGGGCTGGACGTCGGCCAGAGTGACGTGTCCATCCTGACACACAAAATGAAGAAAGTGCCCCCATGCGAGGAAGAGAAAACTCTGGTCAAAGCGGTCCTGGATCTTTTTTAGAACCTCTTTCATTGACGGCCATATTTGCCTCGGTCATCAGGTACAGGGCTAAGAATCAACAAGGGAATCACAGAAGTCATACTGTCATGCCGTCTTCTCAGCACTGGATCAGTGCCCTGAGCTCTCAAATACCTCCCCATCACAGCTTCGAGAAGCATAAAGGCTCTTCAGAGGCCTTCCGGCCTGCTCCTGGTATAGGCTTGGCACCTCACAGCGCAGCCCCTAGATCCTCCACTTTGAGCACCCAGCCCATCACCGTGGCAGATTCGGCACATGCCGCTTCCTGATGGGTGACGGGTGGCTGGACAGATGGTCGGGCACCATGTACGGGACACATCCATGACACAGAGTGGACCGGCTTCACCGATGACAATGACACCACTCATCCATGACAATGACATACCTAGATCCTCCAACTGTGCCCGAATTCTGCCTTTTGGCTGGTTTTATAGATGAATAATTAGGGCAGAAATTCAGATCCCGGTCTCCAACACGTGTAGCCCCCCGGGGATCGCTATCTTCTTCATCTCGGACCGACCGCTCGGCAGCCCTTTTTTTCTCCCTCGACGGACCGACCGGTCGTGAGACGTTTCACGTGAGACGAGAGGTCGTGGAGACGGCGAGGTCTCGACTGGCGAGGTCTCCACGAGGATGGCACGACTGGCGGTGAGCCGCTCAGCTCGGGCGGCTCACCGACTTCGAACTGATCGCCAAGGGCCATCAAAATTGCATAGTAGCAAAGTGCAGCACCATATGGCTTACCACATGGCTGGCCAGATTAAAACCAAACAGCTGCCAAGTTGGGAGGTTTGACCCATCTGTCTCTCTTGTCTGCATGCAGGTCCATCAAAACGTTTTGCAACAAGGACTCACCCACTTAGTGACCAGAACCCCCTGACCAAAAGCCACTTGAAGGCAGCTTTGGAGAAAACATGAAACGGTCAATTGAATTGGCTTTCCCAACCTGCCACCAAGTTCAAGCCAAACCTCCAGCGTTTTTCACTTGGGCACCGTAGGCCACCGTCAGGTAGGGTCTTTCCTTCGAAAAGTACGGCCCCAGGACACGGCGTGGCCCTCCTCTAGGCCCAGCAGTTTGAATTGAAGCTTCCCGTCGGCGTCAATGAAGCGCTCCTCCCGGAACCGCCCTTGAGGCCCACAACGCTCAATGACCAGTGTGGCATCTTCCCAGGTGGCTACCTTGGTGGCTACCGTGCTCCAAAACAAAAAAAAACACAAACAGAAGGGACATAGAAAACACGAAAAAATGCCCAGGAGAGTGGGGCATCTGGTTGAGTGGAGTTTGGGGTATCTATCCAGTGAGAACACCAAAAAAGCCAAGTGAGGCGAAGGTTGCACATGTCAAGGTCTGCTTGTGCGCATCGACAGTGGGGTATGGTGATCCATCTGCGACAAACACCTCCGGAATGGGTCCCATCACGGTGTGATTGGTAAACTTGAATTTGTCCTGGACAGCGTGCAAGAATCAAGCAAAATTCAGGACAGCCTGGGACGCATCTCGGAAATTGAGGAATGGTGCAAATTCACGCACTCTCGTGGCGGAATGACCCCATCAGCAACTAAGATTAATTTCATCATCAATTCCCAAAAAAGTCGGTGATGTTTAAAAAACGAAAGGTGTGATAGGATCAGAAGGAGTCAGATGCAAAAAGTTGCAAAACGAAAGTGTGGAAATCTTAAGGAGCAGATCGGAGAGAAAAACATCAAAAGCATCCACAGAATCCACTTAAGCATCGAAAGATTTCAAAACCAAAAAATCATGAAAAAAACATGTGCATTATCCTCTTTTGCCTGATGCCCATGATAATAATAGGAAATGTATAATGAGCATGGTCATCATGGAAATAATGCGCTCGTTCTGTGCTCGGCTGGCATATTCCATCATGCTCAGCTTTGTCCTGCTCCTGCTGGAACTCCCAGCTCGGCCAGGGGGCCTTTGCAGCCGCCAGGCGCTTCACGTAGGGAATACCCATGTTCCTCAGTGGTACCATTTTGGTGGGGCGGCACAAGCACTTGGGCCACCGGATTTCCTGGACTCAAGACATGTGAGTGAACGTCCAGGGCATCGCATTGGGCCTGAACTTCCAGACGTTTGTTGGCTGCCAAGCCTCTTCAAGAAGTCATCCAAGCCCCATGTAGCGGTGCAGATCCACTCTCCGCTGAAGTCCGGCCGCTTCACGGGCACGAACAGCTGGGAGATCATCGCCACGATGGACTTCTTCGACCTCGGGGCGTCCAACGAGGCGAATCCTGGGAAACCTCTGTGGAGGAACATGGACGTATGTTAAAGAAACACCATCGAGAAATGTCCGGTGAAAAAATCCATCTATAAATCGCAGTAGCCAGCAGTCACCAGTGACAAAGAAAAAAACAGAACAAAAAAAGAGAACGGTCTGGCCTCATGCTGTTGGCACTGTTCACCGAGGTGGTGGTGCTGGACCTGTCTTCCGGGAGGTTCGCCGTTTTCGCTCGTGTTCGTCAGCAGAACCAGTACCACCAGTACCACCTACCACCCAGTGTTGATGGTTATTGGATGGAAACACATGGTCAGGGGGTCCAAAAACCACCCGACGTGGCTGGGTGGTGCTGGTGGCTGCCTGTCTCTTGTCTTCGGTCTTGGGAAGGCACTTTCCGGCTGTATGCAGGTGGTCAACTCGATCTTGCTAGCAGTTTGGGGAACCCTTCTTTGTGCAAGGAGTAAACACAATTCTCAATGAACATGGCATCACATGGCCATAGTCTGCGTGTCAGATTGTCCGCAATCCTTTCCAGTTCTTCAAACATCAAACAGCAACCTGGCCTCAACTTGTCCATCATCTTTGTCGAGACTCTCTCCTTGCTGCACGGGGCCAACCCATCAAGGAGCAATTCGAATGAACTTCTTTAGCTGTCAAAAAGTTTTTTGTCTCCACGTGTGGAAAAGAAGGCTGACTGTCAAACGTGCTGAGACTCTCTCACCCCCACGCCCCACTCGATGGAGAGCCAAGTGGCATTCTCATCCACCTCGATGCCTTGCAAGCTCACTGATGACAGGACTCGGCTGAACTTCTTCTTCGAGGGCGCGGAGGGCGGGGCCTCGTCCGCCGTCCCTTCTTCCACCACGCCCTTGGAGCTGAGGACGATGGCGTCCTGAAGTCTTCCACTGACCCGGAACGATTGTGCCAAACGTGCCAAACCGGCTCAATTGAAAAAAGGAGTAGGTGGTGCAGCAAGAGAAGGGCAACTGAGGGAACTGGGCCGAATCAGTCATGGTGGGCCTGGTTTGGAGCTACAGCCCTCTCCTCCTCATCTGGCTTGCTGGACAGTGGGGGAAGCGCCGCAGACTCAGGCTCTCCAACCGTCCCATTCCCGCAGCACGCTTGATTTCCCATCCCCACAAGCCTGACCGATCTACATGATTTTCTTTAAAAATCATGAGCGGGTGAGATGAAACGGCTACATACACAGATGTGGGCATACCCTCCCTCTCTCTCTAGCAAAAAACGTCGTAAACAACGGCATTTGATGAAGGTTTTAGTCAATAATAGCCAGGAAAAAAACAATAAACAGTTTTTCAACAAATGTTCTGAGTGCTATGTAAAAAATACATAGATTCCCCGAATACGAACAGTCTAGAATTTGCGCTAATTCTCGCAGTGTCAAACAGCAGCCTTGCTAGATGGCAGGCGCTCGGTGTAAAAAAGAGGATTGCCTCTGTCTCTGACTCATATGGTTCGATGCAGGGCTTCCAAAGCACACAACGGTCTGAATTATGGAAACAAGCAGACATTTCTCCCGGTGCTGGCGGGCCCAGCCACGTAGCGGCGCGATATACCTGAGAAGTTGCCTGAGAAGTGAGGGGACGAAAGCCAGCCGTCGCAGACTTTCTCGACTGCTCAGCATGGCGACAAGACCCTTGACAAAGCAGGACATGGCAGATGCATCTTCGAGCATTGTATATTATTTTATATAACTGAACCTTGCGAGCCGCTGTTTGAGATGAAATTTGGCAGATTTGTGGGAACAAACTTGTAAGACGCGGGTGTTTGGCTGCTGCTTGAGATGAATTGTTGATGCAGGTGCGGAAAGGCACAGTGGATCTCGACGCTGAAAGTCGGAGTTTCTTGGTTGGTGCCTTTTTGCGCCTGGCAGAGAAGGACACCCCCCGAAAAGAGGCGTCCTGGCGATTAGACCCGTGACAAAGCAACCTCTGGACAATTGGGTTCTTGAGTTCTAGCACCCAGTTCTGCGAGAAAAGGCCTTCAGGAGGAGTTCCTTCTGCGCTTTGTTTGGAGACCGTCTCGGGGCAAAACAGGGCACCTCCGAAAAGCGGGCTATAGCGATACGACGTTCAAAGGACACGGCAGATGCACCTTCAACAATTTAAGATGAAGGTTGCGAACGAAGTGAGTATTATCAGCGAGTCTGTGTGGAGACTATCACGTCGCTTGTTGGAGCTTCTTGGGTCAAGCACGTTGCTCCAAGCGTCTGCGAGGGCTGGCTTTCGTCCCCTCAACCCCGCTGCTTCCGACACGTCGTTGTTGCCGTCTCCCGCTGTGTCAGGGCGCCTTCTCGCTAGAACCCGTTCTTGGAAAAAGTATCTTTTCTGGGCCGCCTTTTTTCTGCGTCTCAATCTGTGTATATCACACTGTCCTTCCTTTCACGCATGGCTTGACTTGACGCGTGGCGTGACTCAACGGACTAAGACGAAAATAGTGTAAGTTATAACATGCCTCATACAGGAACCGACAAAGTTGCCCAAGCGCTCCAAAGGATGCCCTCATACTCACATCGCCAAGGCCGTCATAGCGCAACATTTTGCTGACCCATTTTTTCCTTCCAAAACCTGCCATTTTTTCGACTACCTATCGGCTGGCTTTAGTAACAGTATATATACAGTATATATATATATATACCTGAGAAGGGGGGGACGAAAGCCAGCAGCCGCCACACGAGAGGGTCAAAAGAATAAACCATCTGAGTAACACATGCTTACTAAGACGATGGCAGGCACTGTATGCTTCAACATGAGTGTCACCAAGCGTCATTTGGAACGGGAAAGGCTTGAAGTAATTATATATTGTTATAAAATTAATATACCCGTGGCTATAACAAGTCTCCTGTAATCTGCCAAGGCAAGACTGGATGACTCCAGCAATCTGCCAAGGCAAGGCTGGATTCTGTTTACCCGGGAGGCAGCCATACTAGTATAAACTATAAGCGCAGACTGCGCTATGCACCTTTTATGATATAAATGCGGGACGGAGCGCAAAGCAACTTGTCGCTGCCAACCAACTACTATACTTGCCCCAATACATCCAACCAGACTTCTCTGAAAGGATGACTCGGAGGATGGCAGGAACTATATGCTCAGCATTGGTGTCACCAACCGTCATCCAAAAATCCGTGACTATAACTTATCCTCAAACAGCAATCTCTTCAACACGGGCCCCTCTTCTGATAGGCACTCGTCGCTGCCAACCAACTACCATACTGGCCCCAATACATCCAACCAGACTTCTCAAGCATAGTAGAGACTAGGATGGTTGCTCTGTTGCATGGGTGCCTGTCTCCACTCCAGTGCTCAATGCCCATTGTCCAAATAGCCTCCACAGCCCTTCGTGATGCTAAAGATGCACTACTCGGCGTCCATTGCATCACTCGCATCACCAGACCTCATGTTCACTGCTTTTCTGACGCTCGCTTTGGAGCGCTCCCCAGGCAAGCTCCGGGTTCACCCTCTCAAATGGTGCCTTTTCGCCTCCTACCCCCCCCCACACCCCCTTAACTCATTTCGTTCGGTCTGAAAGCTCAAGCCTAGCCTATCGGCTGGCTTTCGTAACATATGTTTATATATATATATATACATATATACATATATAATATATACATCTGCAGAAATCTCCCACACGACCAAAAGCTCAAGTGAACACACATTTCAGAACTCTGTAGCCCACGCAAATGCGCATTTATGCCCGGAACTTCACTTCTGTGCAACCTCTCAAGGGCTTAAAAATGTTAAATTCCGCACCCAAACAGACTCTCCCAGCTGAAACCAATGCCAGCAATCCCCCCCGCCTAGCTCCGAGCTCTCTCGACCTCGCCGGGGAGAGAGAAGACTACTCCGGCAAGTTTCACAAATAATCTCAGACACGACATTCAACAGGAATGGTTCAAGGATTTCAGGTCTACACTGATTCCTCAAACCATTCACGTTGAATTACCAGACAGGCCAACCTTCAAGCCGTGACCAGATTTTACACCCACGATTGGGCTGCGCAAGCAGTCCCAGTGACCGTGCTAGGCTAGGTGCACAAAGGACGTGTCTCGAAATGCGCAAACGTTCCGGTGGGGCTCATGACATAACTCAAAGTGCTCGGTGTTCCTCCTACCACCTGTTCGGCACTTATCACTGGATCCGCTGTGTAGTTATCAAGGCCAGATTTCCTGGAGCACGGCGGGGTTAATAGATTCAGATTCTAGATTCTAAACAATGTGCTACTGAGTCACCCGTGGAAAAGAACACTTGGTCCGTGTGGTTCCCCACTAGCACCAAGACATAGGCCAAGAGGCCGTGAATCTCAAGGCCATCGCGTGAACCTTGGCAGTGGTATGCAGTGGTCAAAGATCCTAAAAAGTAAACCAATTGCCTTCACTCAAGAGCTGGACGAAGTGATAAGCCGCATTTGGAAGAAATGGCATTGGATGTTTTGGCGGTGTGTCTTTAAGACAGGTCCATGAGGGTCAAATGCCAGTTAGGGTGCCGAGTGCCTGTATCGTTATCATTAGGGAGTGCCTGAAGAGGCAGTGGAACAAGCCCCGGATATCAATGTCTCCAGTCTTCCGTCTCTTCCGTGCTTCGTCCCCAACTTCTGCCACTGCCTTTCAGTCGGGTCTCCCCACCTCCGCATGCAGGGCAGCCGTAAAGACATCGCCCTCGAAAGATCTCGTCCCGCTTCTCCGGCACCTGGGACGAACGACCCGGCAACGAATGGACCCGGCGTGGACCCGTGACGGGTCGGGTAGAGGGGAAGGGCCCCCCCCGCGTAGCCAGCACTAAGGTTAGTAAGGGTTCTTTCAGACCAGTTGGGACCTAGGAAAAGGGCATATCTAGAGACTCCTAGAGGTGGCAAAGGCGTGGAACAGATCGAAGCTGCAAGTCTGCCATTCTTGGCTCTGCCAGGTCCCAATCCGTCAATCCCACAGACCAAGTTACACTCGGAGTGAGATACGTCACAGTCAAGCTCCCCTCGCCATGACACCTGGCAACGACGTGCAGGAGCAAATCATCATTGTCATCATGGTGATCCCAAAGTCTGTGTGGCACTTCTGGGGCAGCTTGCTGACATACCGGTGGTGCACCATGCAGACCATACTGCCAGTGATCCAATGTCGCTCGCCCCCAGCCTCATGCACTGCCCTGAGCCACTACAGGCCACACACTCTGTGGGCTGCTGCCTCATTCGAACAATGTTCAGATCAGAATGTGGATCTGTGATGGGGCAAAAGATACCACTAAACTTGTCCACTTCAAGCAGAACAAATAAAGCAGTCGCTTCTCACGGGCTGATGACGAACCTACAACCAACTCGTATGCCGTTTCTGCACCATCTCTTGAGCATCCGAGACGCAACTGCTGGATGAGCTGCTCCTGTGGCACCGGTCGGTATTCAACAGCCAGTGGTTTTGAACCTTCAAGAACCTTCGCCTCTCTACCCTCTCCCCACAGACGTTGACCAAAAAGAGAATGACACAGTGTAGGTGCAGGTGCTGGCAACTCGTCCACCTGCAGAGTCCTAAATCGTCCAACCAAGCTGACCAGCGAACTAATCTGATGTGGCTCGGTGCCCCCGCGTGAAGGTCGACCACACGGCGTGCCATTTTTGACCAAGCAGTCACCTCGGCAACTTGTAATAGCTTGTGCCATCATGTTTCAACTGGCCTTCATCAACTTGCAAATGACGTGGAAAAAAATCCATCCAGTTGCCCACCAGTTGGTGGCATATCTGGCATGTCTCTTGAAAAAACCATGCAGATTTGGTCGTCCCAAACAAAGGATGTTTAGAGCTGAATCTGGCTCCAGCCTTTCTGAATTTCGCGCTCGTTCCATGGCGCGCGTCCGGGTGCCCAGGCCAAGCGTTGCGCCTTCTGACGTGCCTCGTGACGATTGACCTCTTCCTGACGTTCACAAAGGTGAAAATAGAAAACTGTACACGGCCGTGCCACGGAGCTTTAGGAACAAGGGCATCGCTACTAGGAGCAAGGATGCTACTAGGGGCTCCTGGCCTTACTACTAGGAGCAAGAAGCTATCAGAAACAAGAAGCTATTGTTTCTTATTTGCAGACCCGCCTGGAGCTCATGCTGTTCAATCTCGATGGTCCGTCGTCTTTGTTCCCGCCTCTCCTGGGGCACTTGGGGCGACCTTTTGGGATGCTGAGTGCGAAGTTGCGTTTCCCTCAGCCAATCTGCAAAGCAGATGGGTCAACACAAGAAGCCTGCACACAAAACTCTAGAATCCTTCATTCTGCATAGTAAGTGGACCTGTTTGGTTCACCGCGCCCCCGAGATGTCACTCTGTCACTCCTCAGCCTTTTTGTGGCGCTCCTCGATGTCAAGCCTGGCAGTCTGGATGCCAGGCAGTTCCTTCTTTAGTTTGAGTCTCCATGCTCCAACATACAAATGATATAAAAGGATACAAAAGGTCATGCAACAAGAACTGAGAATCTGATAGCATGGGTGCCCTTAACGAAGACCCCCTTGAAAGGTGCCTTATTGAAGAGGACCCTACCGTCTGATGTTCCTATTCTCAATTGTCTGTTTAACGGGATGTCTTCAACTTTGTGACAGATGTCTCCTCTACATCACAAGGTCCGAACCTCCTCTGCTCAATCTCAAGTTCGTCGATCCGTATCCGCTCCTGGATGAGCGCCGAAGCCTGTGCAACAGGCACTGCAGGGTGGGATGTACCGTGACCTTCCCAGAATGAAGTTATGACACATGCCAGGCGATCCCAGAAATCACCGGTCAATTCTTGAAAATGGTTCTGGTGTCCTTTCAGCGCCTTCTTCTTCTTCCACCTGCCATTCCAGCCCTGGAGATCACGGGATAACTCCTGGATCCGGAGGCCAATGAAAATCATCGCCCCAGCTGTCAGATTGAGTCGTTGCACTGACACGACCAGAGGCACGAAATTCCACACATCATGCCTAGACTGTTGATGAATAAGACCCACTGATAGGGTTTGGTGATGCTTTTTCTCAGTCTACATGGGAGTCTTTCGGATGATTCCTTGATGACCCTGAACACAAGGAAGCTCGCCTCGAAACTGGGCAACTCCTCCTCCTGCTTACTTTGCAGCTTCTCATGCACGAGCCCTCGGGGCTGAAAATCGCACAAGCCGAAACGAATTCAAAGTGACCGTGCTTTCAGAGGCTCGATGGCGCATACCAAAAAGGAATGTCCTTTTAGGTGGGGGTTCATGTGACCACCTTTTGGGGATTGTGCCTTTCTTTGCCTCTGAAACCACTGTAATGTTGCACATGCTTGAAGTGCACCCCCAGCACGGTAGTTGCAGCACTGGTCCCACCACAGTATAACTCACAGCTCACTGGCTTTGCACGACTTGCTTCGGAGTACATTGCATCCCGCTTCGAAAAATCAGCGAAGGCTTGAGGGTGAGCGTGCAACCTGCTTGCCCAAAGCTTTGCACAGGTCCCCAGAGTCCCAGACCCACCTCGTTCCATACTGATTCGGCGCAAGTTTCGCGCAGCAGCGCCACCCATGCACCAGCTGCGGCCTGGTGTCCACGAGTGAAGTGCTGCGGTTCACTCTCAAAGCACGTGGTTTTGCTCTCTCTCTCTCTCTCTGCAGAGTCTAGCCGTCTCACAGCTGTCCCCCTTCTTGACGGAAGAGCTGCTGTGTCTGGAGTCTCTAGCACACTTGAACCACGACATGGCTCCCTACTTGCGTCCGGGGACCGGGACGACGAAGTTCGTGAGGGTGTTGTTGGATGGTGTTGGATGGTGTTGGATGGTGTTTGGGTGGAGCGTTGCTGCATAGAAAGTTGAGGTGTTTGACCGTTGGTGCACGGATGCATGTCGGGTGAAACATACGGCAATGGGAGCATACATGCAAAGCAGGAGGTTTACAAAACACAAGCAAGGCTGTTTTCGAGCTGCCCCTTCAGCTTTCCAAGTCATTCGTCTTCACAACACCAATTTCGTGGGACTCTGCTCCACCAATGTTCATTATTGATTAAAAAGCAGTTGGATTTGAAAACCTCTTCATATGGGGGTTTTGTCAATCAAGAGTCTACATTCAGGTGTGATCCAAAAGCGCATGTAACAAGGGACCTTGGCTAACAAGGGGACCTTGGCTAGCCCCGCCTCCACTGCCGGGACTGGGCACGCTGGGCACAGCATCTGGGCAACGCGGGCTTGCAACGGAAAATCAGCTGATCGTCCAACGGTCGGCTTCCAACTTCCGACCGTTGCAACATGCCGACCGGGCAGCGCAACTGGATGCGTTGAAGCCGGGGCAGTGGGAGTGGTGGGAGTGTGAGCGCGGGAGCAATGGCGAGGGGTGAGTGGGTCGAGTGGGTCTCCAGAGCTCTGACATGTTCCTATACACTGTATGTCAGCATTCCGTCCAAGCTACACTGCATGTTCAGTAGCAGCATCAGGAATATGAAATACATTTGGCCTGTCATCCTGGCTGACTTACTTCTTGGCACATCGAGGATTTGAAGGTACGGAGAGGATCGCCAAATGAAAGGTGGCCTGAAATTCCACCTGTAGTACACTGGTGGTCTGTCCAACAGGGCTTAACTTCTTACAGTAACTGCCATGAAGACTGCCCATGTATATAAAGCGAAGCCCCTCCAGTACAATTCCTTGAGTTCTAGTGCACTGATGAAATTTTAACCTACCCCGACCATCCCGCAACAGAACCATTTTTGTGGTGCTGCCAGCTCCTTCCCGAAATGTGTTCACAGAACCCAAGACCCAAAGCTACCTGGCGGAATTGAACTCTTGCTGCATGTCCTCATCACGGAACTGGGAATTTCAACAAAAACAATGCGCTTAATTTTGACCATTAAAAATGATTATTGGCCAACATGTTCTTGAGTCGAAGTGTGCCATCTGTCCTGCCAGATCTAGCCGACAGTGGTGTGCCTTTGCTGGCTGTCCTGGCCCGCAACTCTGTCAGAAGGCCAGGCTAGGCCAAAATGATTCAACAACAGCGCTTGAGCGCTGGAAACTGACCACAAAGCCTGCATTGCCAATGGCACTTAGTGACTTAGCTACCTAGTGAATCCCCTGCAAAAATCTGCCTTCAAGGAGGCTGTGTTCTACTTCCCTTCCTGGGGTCGGGGTGGTGGTGTAGACTCGGAACTCAACCGTTGGGGACCGAAGCCAGACGTCTCTGTCGGCCGGCACACGGTCCACACCATCTCCCTACGCCTCAGAGGGTCTCCCCTATTGATTAGGTGGGTGCCCGTATCCCATGATCACATTCATTATGGTGCATTCATATCGTCAACGCATCTGGATCACATGCAAAGGAGGAAAAAGGAAACGCAGGTCCTGCTGCTGTCCTTGCTGCAGTTGCTCCCTCAAAGCGTGGAGGACAAAATCAGATCACTTCTGGAAGAGTTGACTTAACACCAAAAGGATCTTAAACCAGCTTCAAGCCAGGCTTACATCTTGCCATCCTAGCTTGGAATTCAAGCAGCCACCGGCCAAACTTTCTGTGCAGCAAGCATAATCTCTTTGAGCCACGATGCCTTGATGCAGCAGCCGTGGCAAGTGACTGTCGTCGTAGGGCGCAGAACAGCGGCGGGCCATCACCACTACGGTGGATTGTCGGCAGCTAGTGGCGGGCTATCGTTCAAGTGGATACTTTTTTCTCACATTGTCTCGCCATGCCCGTTTCGTTCAATCAGGATAGCCCAATGCCCAAGAAGATCCACATTGTCTCGCCGGTCTTTCTCAGCATCCAGCCTTCTAGGACACAAGAGAAGACACGTTCATAGATGGAAAAGGCTAGGGGGGGGCGTCCAGCTTGGGGAAGCATGCGGCTTGCGTTTCGTGGATCATGTGCTCACCATCCTTGAAATCTAAACAGCCGCCCAGGAATCGCTTGCAAAGTCTGGTTTGCAGAGGTCTTCAGCCGCTTCGTGCTTGCCAAGTCACCCAAATATCTGTTTTATGTTAAGACATACAAATGTACATGAATAAGGACTGGTGGTTTGGACTCACTCAGGCCCAAAGACCCCGCAAACGCAACACACCAACAATGACATGCTCACATGGCCGCAATGCAAAAGCTACCACATGTGCATTCTGATGTCACAGTGTCTGTGTGCAATGCCTCTTCCTCTTCCGTTCGTCCGTTCTTGTATCTTCTGCACTGGGACAGCTGGATGTATGACCTCGGGTCTCAGGGCTGCAAAACATAGTGCTTTGATGCCACAAATCCCCTCATCCACCGATTTTGCAAGTCATGCTGGTTCGGCAGACTTGCAATGTGTCAAGAAATGCTTTGAGCTTCGCCAATAGGTTGCACCTTAAATGACCGCTGCCTTGGACATCTAAGAGAGTCAGCATAAAAACAACTAGTAAGGCGTGAAAACGCGCGCAGGTGGCAAGCCAAACACATTCAACTCCTTACTTAGGATGCCTTCATTCCATGGGCGCCCTGCTGACTCGTACATGTCCCAATGAATTTCTCCTGCAGGGTGCCTTCGTAGACTGTCTTACCTCAGCTGCGCTACTTGAATAGCATTCTAAGCTGGCACTCTGTCTGGACTCCCACACCTACACGCTTGTGAAAGGAAGGCAACACAATCGACTGAGACATGAAGCTTCCTAAAGACCTCCTGCGACACAGCACCGTGGTCCTTCGCCCTCACGGTGCTGTGTGGACCCGCCCGCCGGGCCCGCCCATGGCCCAGTTACCCAGCTGAGGGTGCGTGTAGCGCACGCTGACATGGGCCTGATTTCGGAAGGCTCGGGCTGATCGGCTTGGCATGCGAAAAGCCTAACTTGCATGTGGCCGCAACATGTGCTTTCTTCAAGTGCACTGTGCTGGAACAAAAATATAAACTTAAAAATAGAAAACGTACACACATATATATATATATATATACAAAATTTGCTGTATAAGGTTCTTTGGTATACATCCTCAGAGCATGGAGTTAGTTCCCACTTTGCGCACCCCTTCGTCGATGCTCAGCAACTCTTTGGTTACATCTTGAGACCTCAGGGCAGCGGTGCCCCTGCGGCAGAACCAGCTGGTGCCGTCGTTGCCCTGGAGTCGACCCTGGTGTCGACCCCGGCCCGGTCGGACGTTCGGTGGGCCCTGGAACGAAGTACACCATTGTTTAAAGCAAAGCCTCCACCAGTGGTACACCCTCCACCCTTTTTATGGACACAATCCAAATGGATTCCCACCAGTATTCTAGACCCAATCTTCGCAAGAACCTGAAGCCAAGGCACTCTGTTTGACCCTTGAGACCTGGGAGCACCAAATGCTCCGGAACGCCAGGAACCTTAAAGCCTGGAACGTCCGACCGTCGGCCGTCGATGTGCCGAAGCCAAACATGAGGTCTTTCGATGAGCTCATCGACTAAAGGCAAGAGGTGAAACTTCTCAATGACTAAAGCTGTTGATTGGTGGGCCAGGTGGGCCTGGTGGGCCAGGTGGGCCTGGTGAGCGGTTCGCACCCAAACGGTCGGCACGGTCTGGTGTTCCTCATCGCACCCGTCGTCCCACGCCTTTGGTCTCCTCAACCTGAGGTTCTGGGGCCTCTTCCTCAGAGCGAAGAGTTCGAGGGCGAAGAAGCCGAGCCATGACTTCGGGTATATGTTCATCGCTGCATATGTTCAAGGCTTTTGAACAGGGAGGGGAGGTTCACAGGGCCAAGTCACACTCAAGAATAATCGAAAGGAGTCCATGTTCAAGGGAGACTCGTTCGCGAAACGGCTCGCAAGCCAGCGAGTCACGGATTGATCTCACAGCAGCTGGCCTCATCACTGTCTTCATCATCGTCCTTCTTCATGCCTTGGTGGGGATCCAATGCTGATGGAAACCTGCGGCAGTGTGACCGTGTAAGCCAACTCAGAGGGCTGCTCATGCCCGCACAGATCAAGCCGCGGGAAAGGAGGATTGATGCAGAATCGGTGAAGCCCTTCGGAATGAACCTCTTCCCCGTCTTCCATGCGGTGCCAGAGGAGCCCGGGTGTCCGGGCCATTCGCAGCTGACATCATGGCCGCCATGCCCATGGCCATGCCCATGGGGTTCATCCTGGCACAGGGCCCAGCTTCATAATGTATATTGAAAATAGTCAAATTGAGAAGCTTGCTCCCAGCTTCTCATGGGATTCGACATGTTCATTCGTCCCAGCTTCTCAAATTGAGGATTTCTGAAAGGAGCTTGTTTCCTGCCACACTCAATTTTACTGAATAACTTGCTATGACATCAACGATGAAGAGCATCAGCGTCGACAGTTTCTACTTTCCCAAGCCTTAGTGATTCAAGATCCAGAGTGGTGGTAGCTATTTGGCAATTTTGAACTCTCGCCTGCTGCATAGTTTTCCCAGTGTGGATATTGCTATTGTTTCCATGCAAGCTAACTCCTGGGCCTTCGCTTGGAGACACTGGTGACCCATTGGACTTCACAAACAAGGCAGGTGAGGCATCCCCATCATGGGGTTCATGCCACCCATCATGCCCATCATGGGGTTCATGCCACCTGGTAGTCCACAAGGCACAAAATGAAAGCGCAAGTTATCCTTTCAACTGACGTGAGATGCAAGTCCATCTGACCCGTTGTCATGGAGAACCTACTGTACGGCCTTGGCGCACTCTGACATCCAACACAACTGTGAGGACTTGCTGCTTCCCAACATCCAGGGCCCACTAGGGCCACGGCCGCCACCCATCATCGGGTTCATCATCCTCAGATGGTTTGTGAGGCTCCATGGTTCTACAGAACGGACGCACCGAATTCACAACAATGCTTTGGATTGGCCAACACTTGCCGTGAAAGCTTCGGAGACATGCCACCGGCTGGACAGCCGCCACAGCCACAGCCGCCGCAGCAGCCACCACAACCACAACCGCCACAACCGCCGCAGCCGCAGCCGCCGCAGCCGCAGCCGCCGCAGCCGCAGCCGCAGCCACAGCCGCAGCCAGCACAGGGGCAGCCACAACCGCCAGCACAGCCGCAAGGGCCACAACCGCATCCGCAGCCGCAACCTCCCATACCTGGCATACCTCAAGAGAAACACCGGAAGTACAGTAGCAGGTCAAAGGCCCCTACCACACATTGACTCTTGGAAATGTGTGAAATTTACCATTTGTGGTCATCATGGGCGTGATAAACACGAGCCCCAGCTTGCAGACTGGCCACCCAGGCATCCACAGCCTCCAGCCAGGGAAAGCAAAACTGCCCATGCTCTTCAGTGCGCAATGCATCAGATCGAAAGAGAATGAGGTTCCTCATCCCTCTTGAATACCTGAAGGTGCCTTGTGCTAGGATTTCAGGATTCCTATTTATGGAGGGCCAGGGAGTCGAAATCGCACGCTGCGTGCCCGGCTTGGCCTCCACAGTCTAAGCCACAGCTGCCTTGGCAACTTGAAGTCTCGACGGGGGATGGTTGCTAAGCCCAGACAATGGGCCCTCAAAGCTGCTCGAACACACCAAAGCGAGACAAGAAGAAACCAACCGATTGAAACGGTATGGCTGTAGGTCAAAACCAGTGTTACAGGGTTGTGACCCACAGCCAAAGGGCCTTAGATGTACACAACTTGGCAAGTCCAAGGAGCTTCGCTCTGGTCGCGGTGGAGCGGCCTGGCGCGGACCCAGGCTCTTGGTCCGAAGTACGACGCTTTTTTGGGGCAGCCGTCCGAAGTGCAAAGACCCTTTTTTCGTGGTTCGCTTTGTGCAGTCAGAGCCCTCCGAATCTCCGTGTTGTTTAAACATCTTTTGTGGGCCTCCTCCCGCGAGCCAAATCGATGCCACAACGGGCACCTCCAAGCGTTTCCTGTTTCCAGGTGCCCCGACCGTTCGCCGTGCAGCCGCTGCGGCTTGTGCCGTGGTGATTTCTTGAGGCAACCTGGGAAGTCTGGCGTTGGCACTGCGTTGGCAACTGGGATGTGATACGCGTGCACTAGCACGTGGCCCATGCCTTGCTGTTGAGTGCTTTTGTCGCTGTCGATGCGAGCCAGATGGGTCACCAAACCGGACTCACCGCTGCGACCCGCCACGGTCCATGTCTTTCACCGCCGCGGGTCTGTCCAGGACGAGCGAGCGAAGCTTTGGCGTCGCACCTCTTTTCTGCCTGGTCCATGTCTTCAATCCAGGCGTCGTAGAACCTCTTGACACCTTCCTCGGCAGGCGGCGTTTGCACAGTCCCATCCCCAGGAAAATGACTGGAGATCACCCGGCCAAGAGTCTGTAGCCACAACTTCATTCTCTTTTCCAATCAAGATGGTGTTCTTCAGCTCAATCTGACAGGGACAGAAAAATAACACATGAGAATGGGTCATTCTGCGCAATGTTGAACAGTCAATTGTCTGATGTTCTATCTCACCCCGAAAATCTCTGAGCCACAATAATCCAGGTCCCGAACATAGGACTCTCGGTCAGTGCCGCCAATGCGGCGGTCGGCCATGATGCCCTCGTATTTCAGCAGTGAGCCCTTGCCTTCCTGGCAAGGGATGACAATGTGGTCAATCACAGAATCAGTAAGGCCCTTGTTACTAATAGCGATGCCCTTGTTACTAGTAATGCCCTTAGCTACCAGTAGAATGAAAAACGTACGCCCTGGAAGATTTCACCTGGAACCTGAAACCCACTGGGTCGTAGAGGAATATCGTCTTCCAGTCTGGTCTGTGCTATCAGGTCCTCTCGATAAGTGACGCTCACATTCATACCCATCTTGATGCCTGGCGGGGGAGGAGACACTCGGAGACACACTATAAAGATGGGCAAAGCCCCAAGGTGGCAAAAGCCCCAAGGCATTTCTTCAGGTTGCGATTCATGCTTGGTCCCCACCCCACCAGCTCCAAGCTGCGAACGAAAAAGAGAGCCAATATATGCAAATACACTCTGACTCACTAACAGTAACATGCAAATGGAAATGGCCCCTTCGAAGACTACTTTCCAGTGGGTTTTCCATTTCCATGTTAGTGAGTTGGAGTGTATCAATTTTGTATGTGCTCTGATTCTGAAGCGTGTCACACTTGCACTACCCGTTGCTTCTGCTCTCTTTTTACACGCAGTCAAGTTTTGAGCAACTTGCAAACACGCACCCTGGACACGATCCTGTGCACCATCGATCACGCTGGATTCTGATGTACCCCCAGCGCCTTTTTGCTTCGCCAAAAGCGTCCGATTGCTGATCTCAGTCGGGCGGTTGGAGCGGTTGGACAGCTCCTGGGGTCGGGATATGGTTAAATTATAGTGGTTTCAGAGTAGACGGCACAGACCCCAAGATGTCTTTTATATGGGGGTCCTCATAAACCACCTCTTGGGGATTGCGCCATCTACTCTGAAACCACTCTATGTTAAAATATTAACTTCCGCTGGACTTATGGGGGTAACTTGGCAACACCGGCGTCGAGTCCAGCTGCGATGGTCCAACTTCTACGATGGTCCAGCTGCGAATCGAATCCTAGTGGATGGGAAAGGCCTAAGCTGCCTTTCTGCTCAGTTTGGCACGTTTCCTGACAAATCCCTTCAAACTATTTTGCACTGACACCGGTGGCTGAGCTCCAAGACGCCTTTGGGTGCCATGGCTTGCTGTTGGCGTCGGTGCGTCGGGGCGCGGCAGATGCGTTCGATGGGCTATGCGTCAGGGCCTTCGAGTGGCTATGCGTTCGGGAGTGCCATTTCGGCGGCTGACACGGCCGACCCACCAACCTTAACATCCATGTCATCAAGATCGTCCAACCTCAAGAAAATCAAAGACCACGCTTGGTTTTCTTGGCGAAAACCCTGAGATCAAGTCGATCAAGTTGCGAAGCTTGGTTTTCTTGGCAAGTCGTTGTGGAGCCAGTGTTTTGAGTGTGCCAGACGTGTGGTCTGGTGACATGAGTGGTCTGGTGAGTCACCAAGTGTGCTGTATTCTGTTCTACTCCAGTTCTCGAGCCGAAACGCACGTCGTTCATGGTGGGGGCCAAACAATTCCAGTCCGTTCTGCATGTGCGGACAAAAATTTTCACAAAGAGAGCTATGACGGTGGCAGCCAGGCGGACCCAAATCCACCAGAATCGGTGTCAAGCGTCAATTCATGAGAAGCGTCCAAGCTCGAGAGCACAAAGCACATGAGCAGCCAATGTTTGCTCGCCGCTGAGCTCGCTTTAGTAGCAATGAGGGCAGAAGGGAGACACCTGAGCTAGCATGTTAACGGCTCTACCTCGCCGCTTCGGTGGTGACTCTGAAGTGGCAAATCAACGATCGCCGCAAACGAGTATATCCTTAGTAGTAACAAGAAACTACTAGGAACAAGTGCATCGCTTCTAGTAACAAGTGCCTTACTAGTAGTAACAAGGGCGCTATTAGCAACAAGAAACTACTATATATATAGTAGAATCCTCAATTCGACTGAAAAGTCGGAAGCACAGGGCACTAGAGTGACTCTAGGTGCTTCGCCCACGCATTGAAGGCTGGTGCGGGCCCACAGATCTGGCAGCGGCTGTGGTAACTATGCGCTCTCTCAAAAGGTGAAGAAGAACCAAATACACCCCACTGTACTGTAAAACTCGGTTCCATTCACCCTCCCACTAGGAGTCCTCATCTGATTTGCACGTACTTTTGTGATCTTTTGTGACGGTCCCAAGTTCAGTATAGTTCAGTGCGGATTTTGGTTGTTGTCACTCTTGATTGATGTGTCATGAATCTCGAGAATCTGAAACACCTGCCTGTTTGGGCCACTGCCCTTCCTTCGGCCATAGGACACAGTAGTAGCAGCCCGCACACAGAGTTTCCACATCTGGCAAAAACCACCACACCACCATACCTGAGCCGGTGAGCAGGAAGCGGAGCGATGCCGAGCGAGTTTGGAACCAGAACCTGAGGTTCTTATTCACGGCATAACAACCTCGAGAAGAGAAAAAGGGAAAGCTCTGACTTCCAAGATGCACTTCTTGATGAAATCCAGGATCGAAAAAAAGATCATCACAGCGCCCTGACAAGTCAAATGTTCATGCAGCAAGTTTTGCCCTACACTGTAGCGGACTGGATTCGCTTGCGGACCTGGCCTTGATGATGGCCAGCAGCCAGTACAGAGTGATTCGGAGACCGGTGAGGATCCACAAAAGAGCAAAAGCGATGGAATAAAGCACCTCGTTGCGTGATGACGTGACAACTCAAATCACTTGGCCGAAAAAAACAGGAGCCAACTTCCTAAGAACATTGCACAGTGCAACCTGAAGAAGGTGCAAGCAAGGTGCAAAGGCAACCAACCAACAAAGGCTGCTGAACACGAAAACCACAAGTGCAAGCCTCAAAGCACGTTGGTCAAGGCCAAACACTGAAAAACACCAGCATGAAAGCGCAAGTGAGTGAATGAGGAGCTCGTATCGTGAGTTGGGAAAGGAACTGGACATGTTCAAAGGAATGGGCGAAGTTCTATCCAGGCAGGTCATCTTCACAAAGCAAAATGGCAAGGGGGAAGTGTTCTGTATTCTCCATCAGCTACAAACATAACACAAGCCATACAAGAAGAAAAAGTTGGACTTGCAGGGTCGGGCCACCCCCCTCTCCCAAGAAAAACCGGTAGCAAAAGGCATTTGTGGGCAGCACCAGCAAGCACACTCCAAACTTAAACATGTGGCAGCCGCGCCCTGCAGCAGCCTGCATCGACACACGCAGGCTCCAAAGCTCAAACTGCCATACTCATCTGGCAGCAGCAACCTGCATCGGCACCACTGCAGCGGCACCAGCGCGCAGGCTCAAGACGCAAACAGCCACACACATCTGGCACCCTGCAGCGGCAGCACCCAAGCTCACCAACGCACACAACCATCGACATCTCGCAGCAGCACCCTGCGGTGGCACCCTGCAGCAAGCTCCAAAGCGGACACAGCCACACATCTGGCAGCGGCACCAACAGGGGCACCTCTTTTTATACTTGCAGTAAGAACCAAGCTATTTGTGTAAAAACAATGACTTTAGAGATTTTGCATGAAACCCATGTTAAAGCCCATCGGTCGACAGTCCAAGTGTCACATGCTGACGCAGCCAATTGCATCCGTGCTTCAGCCTGCAAATAGAACATCGCGGCTGCAGGAAAATAGTGAATGAGGTTACGCGCGAGCCTTTCACACGTCAGTCGCTCCATCGTACCACTCAATACGAGTTGTTTTTGCAGGGGGTTTTACACGGTTCGCAAAGAAGTACAGATGCTCATATCACATCTGTATCTTTCATCTACCTTTTCCCTCCAAGCGCAGATCGCATCGGCCCGGCAAAAGAGCCCCCGCCACTTCCAGCTGCTGCCCGAGGTCCGGCCTGAGTGGAGTACTACAGCGCGTACTACCCCGAGGTCCAGCACTTGGTAAGCAAGTCCGGCACAAGTACTAAGCACTCTGAATGTTTCATGCACTTAGAGGTGCCCTGCAGTCAGTGGGTCAACTTCGGTGGGTTCTTCCTTCACCTGATAACAAAAAGTTATTCCAAAATGATCTTCTAAGTCGCCCGTGGCCGAGCAGCTCGAACACTCCGAATCCGAAGAAACAGGCATCGGGCATCGGAAAGAATACATGTTCAATTCGTAGTTTACTGTTTACCTAAAAAATGCAGGTTCAATTCGAACCTTTTCTTACAGTCAGGGGCTGAAGCAATTTGGTCACCTTTGAAGGTTTGTTGAAGAACCAAAGGGGATGAGACCTCCGTGCGACCAAACCTCCCGTGCCCAGCACACAACAAAGCCCAGCAACAAATGAAGTACCAAAACTGGATGAGACCTGCGGCATATGCGGCATCTGTGGCATCTGCTACAGATGCAGCGTTTGCGGCACAAAGTGTGGTTGACTTGCACTAATGAGTTTGCCATGCACTACTCAACATGTTCTGTCCCAGTGGCCTTCCTTGCTCTTGGCCTGAGCTCAAAATTGGACAGACCATGATGGGCGCACACAAAGAGGAGACCAATCAAAACACGATGCCACAACCGCTACGGCACAGTGCCAATGGGTTGCATGGCCAATGCTGACCAGTCGCTGCCAGTTCACCTCAGGCCCACGGCATCGTCCGCCAGGCCAACGTTAAAAAAGTACTAGAAAATTCTGTAAGTTTTCCTTCTTCTGCATGCGAAGGCAGTCATCTCAGTGTTTCCTTTGCATGTCAGGTGCGAATGCACCTGCGTGCAAGCTGTCTAGCTCATAAATCATTCAGAGATAAAACATTACCTATACTCAAACTCCGACTTGCCATCGCTTCGCACACCCTCGATCAACAGGGGCCCAACCCAACGCGCCAAAGATCCTGGAGCGCACAAATGTATCATGATGCGTTCCTCTGCTGGACGTAAGCGCAGAAATGACAATATCTTCAGTAACACTGCAACACAAATAAAAATATGTATAACATAACTGCATTCTACATCTGCCAACCTGCCACATTGCATTTGTCCCTGTGCATCGCATGCCAATGATCATAGATGACACTAGTGTCTAGTCAACGCTGGCTGGCGGCACCGCTGTCGCAAGGCTGCTGCGGAGTACTTGGAGCAATCCAGCGACGGGCCGATCTGCAATTCTCAAGACATCTCTTCGCGCAACCGAGAACTTCACTGGAACATCAAAGCAGCTCGGTCAGCCTTGTCAGTTGCTCCAGGCGCAGCTCCGAAGAGGGTGGGCCCAACGGCCTCGCCAAGTTTCTTGAGGAAGGGCAAAGGGGGTCAGAGCTTTGGATGCCTCACGCACGGTGTTGAGTCATATCTGAAGGAAAAGTATCTTGCTAGAACCTCACTGATTGTTAGCTGAAAGCAAACTCATCCACATGCAACAGTGCAGAGGCGTCAAATGCACCACGCACCGCTCCTCGCGCTTGGCTCCACCCGCCAGAACATAGGCGTTCCAAGAAAGTACCTCAGCTGTAAAGCAGCAGCCTTTGGCGCTTTGCATGGCACGATGAACGTGAAAAGTGCTGTGACCAACAGCAGCACGTTCGGCGCACCACCACCCCATCGAAAATGGGCCGGAAATTGGGAGACCAGCGCTGAATCAGCACCTCATATCACACATTCAATGATGGATGGATTGTATTGGTTTGCTTGCAGCATGTCGCAGTCGCTGTCCATGATTCTTTTTGCATCCCCATTTTTTGGCTGTTCATGTTCGAAACCCAACGGATGAAGTGATCGGAGTGTGCTCCAAGACAAAGAAGAAATCCAAAATCTGGAAATCTGTTCTGTATAATTTGTCGGATGTGTTCAGCAAAGGTTGAAGCTGCTCCGACAGATTGATCAGATTATAATCCAAGATTAAGATCCTAAGCATGACCTGCCTCCTTTTACCTGTGCCATGTGCGCACCTTTATGATGTGGCGAAAGGATTAGCAAAATTAGGGAGTGCAGCCATAGGCAATTAGAAAAGAAGAGTGGAACAAAACTGTCCCACCCCAGACCAGCACTCTCTAGGCAAAATTTACTCATAGTGCTCGCCTGCTCTTTCTCAAGGTTTGCGCTGGTGTTCTTCAGACTCTTCGGGTTGCAAACCGAGGCTCTAACAGGTTCTTTTGCGCCCAGGTTCGTCGAAAAGAATCGGAAATTGGGTGCAACGTAAAGAGTTGACCAAGTAAAAAGTATCGATCTGACACACCAACTGAGTCGGCTACTGAGTCGGCCACTTTTTCTCGCAGTCGCGCAGCACAACAACTCTTCAACTTCAATGGGGACGATTCCGAGATGCAAGCAACAAGGCCAGCGCACCATCTGCCCTTTCTGAATTCCTGTCAGCTCTAGCGCTGAGCAAAACGTGTGTGGCCAATCTCAGCTGAAACCATCAAGCAGATCCTTCGATGTTACGATCTTGTCAGCTCAAAGAAACATCCGCACCATTTCCAAGTGTGGTCTCTCAGCTGCAGCACACGGAGATACTATTGCATTTTGCTTCCCTGCAATGTTGTCAAACCCAGCCTCGAGCAACAACTGGTGATTCAAAGCTGCAACCCGCACAGCTGGTACCCCATCTTCGGTTGCCACACGTTTGTTAGCTTCACCTCCGAGCAACAACTGCAACACTTCTCTAAGTGCTGCAAAAATCAAGGTGGTTGACTCGTTTGACTGGGCCGCCTTCTTGTCGGCACCAGCTTGCTCTTTTATATGCCTGTGTCGGCTCGAGCCTCGAGCAACAACTGCACCACCTCCAAGCAGCCCCGTTCTGCTGCAAGATTCACAGGCGCCAATTCAGTGCCGATTGGGATCCATCCAGTGGTTTTACTCAAGCAAGCTGGATAAACTTGGCCTGCTCGATTGTTGCCACAGTGGCCATCTTGGTGACGAAAGCCTCTTTCACCCAAGAGTCCCGAACGGCCGCATCTTCAGATACCAAACGGATTCTCCAATCTCCACCATATAGCCCAACTTCCATGAAGCTGGGTCACAGTGGCACCTGAGAGAGTATCGTCAAGCTTTAGAGCATTCCAGGGCGAATACGCATCAAAAATCTGTGAACTCACATGGCTTGAGCCAGAGAAAGCGCGGTCTCTCTCTCTCTCTCTCTCTCTACGCACATGTAGTTGACTCCTGGTCGCGAACGTAATTGATGAGGTGGCTTGGAGGCCAGAAAGCCATGGAGTGCAAATAGTCTCCTGGGAGGTTGATGTGGATGACCGTGGTCGCTATTATGGTGAGCAGCCACCTGTGGCTTTCACTACGCACCTTGACAATGGCGAAGTGTCAACACGACGAATTGTTCAAACTCTCCTGGCCACAATTGAGCCGCCATGAGGACGCTGCTCCTAGCCAGGCACAGCGATTTTGGATGCCAAGTTTAGAGAAATGACCAGCAATGGGCGCTGGCAGCTGGCAGAAACAAAGCACTTCGGCTGACTCAAAACCAAATCACTTTCTAAAATATAAGGTGCTTGCATATGCAAGTTATATGACCATTGTCCTTTCTAAGCTCCATACCCTAAGTTCCGAGGAGCACCAGCAAGTGCTGAAGCACCACAGTTTTCAGTCGAGTCGGCAAAACTGACGAAAATGAAGCACATCAAGAGAGCCTTAGCATGCAGCATTCCCTCTACTTGGCAATGCGTTTAACATGTTTGAAGACATATTCTTGAACGGACGAAGACAGCATGTGACAGCAACTCCTAGCGTTCAAAACCTTGCGTGTTTGATACACTCATGGCCTAGCGGCAAAGAAGAAGACAGCCAAGGGCAAATATGCCAGTATGAAGGCCCCTTGCATCTTGATCATCTTAACAGTAGCCTCAGCTTTGTACGGAAAAGCTATGCTCCTTACGCACGTTGCAAATTCCAGAAACAATGAAGTATGGAGAAGGCTTCAGAAGGTCACCTTTGCGCCAGCGCCTCACTGGCCTTGATAAATGTGGGTGAGGTCTCAACATCTCTCCCAAGTTGTGTCGTAAACTTAGTAAACCATAGATGGACCATGAACATAATCTTTGACAAACAATAGCGCAATAGGGTGGCTCCTCTTGGTGTTCAACGTTCCGTATATTTCTACACAAATTCTTAATGTCAATGTCATCTTAATGTCATCTCCTAAAGGAAACCGTGCGAAACCGTGCTGGGTGGTGGCTCCGTATCAGTGCTCAAGGTTTTACCGACGATATGCCGATATGCCAACAAACACAAACGCGTTCGTTCCTGTTGCTGTCGGCTGGCTTCTCATGTGCTAACAAAATGATACTGAAAGTCGAAGACAAAAGCATCTCGATACATGTACCACGTCCCGCATCTGTTGCGTTTTTGAGGCTTGGTGTGCCGGGCAGGCCAAAAATGATATATAAGGAGTACCTTGGTCGGTGGCTTCGGTCTTTGTCAAGCTGCCGTCTGCCATGTTGTGGCGGGACCCAAGCGCTGATCACCTGAGAACGTCAGGAACCCAGCAATGTGCAAAAAGACTTACGCGGCTGAAACGCATCAAGCACAACTGGGGGGGAAAAGACAGGCCCAGGAGCAATAGTCGTAGAATCGGCCAAGGATAGCCACCTGAGGCAAGACTTTCCTACTCTACAAATGCTAAGGCTACCCAGACTAGTGTAGAAAAGCACACAAGAAGCAGGCCAAGCCTGAAAGACACAGGCGCTAGTGACGACAGCCACTGTGTAGCGCCAATCCCAGCCGCCTATCTTGTAGCCATCCTTTGACCGGAACGGTGCATGCAGTTGCCAAAACCATGTGTTACTGGGCAACTTGTATCAATCGACATCATTCCCATAATGACAAGATTCACAAAATGATGAACTAAAGGACATGACAAGATTTGTTCATTTGTCAATCGCTGGGAATCTGCTTTTCCACTCTTGAAGCAGGAGAAAGGAACTCAACTCCAAAGACAGACTGGGTGGACCAAGGCGGTAGCAGTTGAGGAACTCAATAGCACTTTATAGATTTGGAGCCGTGAGTTTGCGAACAGGCATGAACCAACCCCACGTGGTTGCAAACTCTTTTGGCATACGTGTAACAAGTTGGGCACACATGGACGTTGAAGCGTTTTGCAGGTGATGTGCTTCAACATGTTGCAGTTGTGGCAACATTTAAAGTGCTCAGGGTGGTTGGGGGCCACGCCGTAAGTTTGGCGCCCCCAGGTGCGATGGTGTCCTGTCGCCCTGAGTAAAGTTTGCCCGCCCTTCATAAGCGGGGAGGGTTCGCGGATCGTGACTTTGCAGCCAGGGGTGCATGGCAAAGCCCCCGACTCATGTCCACGTTTCACCCCTATTCTGACAAGACTAGCTGCGGTAACATCAAATAGGTAAGATCGGTCCTTCTGCCTGTTGTGTGGGCTTCAGTTGGTGAGTGACCTCTACATCTATAGAGGTGGACGGAGGCAGGGCCTGTTCGTGAAGGGGGCCCCTCGACTGCGGCACAGCAACTGCCCCCAAAGCATAACCAGCGCCAAATGAGGGCTTTCGATGCTTTCTGCTCACCAATATCGCTGTCAAGCATCTTGCAAGTTGGATTTTTCGTGATAGGACGGCACAAATTGCCCCAAAACATCGGCAAGTCCAAACCTGTGCCAACTCTGGCAAGTTGGGCAAGAAGCGAAGACGACAACAAAAGGTGCTGCACTGCACAATGTGTAACGTGATGAAAACCTCCAAGTTCAAGCTTATCCATTCGCAAATGCAATCATGGAGAACAAGTCAGCGTGAAACAACGCGGCTCCCGGCAGGATTGCACCGCATACCCTCGGCAGAAAGGCTAGGCGGCTAGACTCCGACGTGAGTCGCCCCAAAAAAGAACTGCCTAAGAATCATGCGAGGACGTCTCTTCTTTCGGAAAATGTATTCATGTTAGCTCCCTAGCCGCTAGCCTCATTCCATTGTCCCACAGCGTCCAGGGCAGCTTGCACAACTTGGGGATTGGAGGGTACGTGCTACAGTTTCGCAATGTCCTTGACGGAACCCTAGATCGGCCCTCAGCTTACAATCTTGAATCACGTGCAGCCGAAGATTCGTCTGCATAAAGACCTTCTCCTGGCAGCAAGCACTGCTGTAGTGTAGTGACCAATTCTGCAGTAGCGTGATGGTCTGCAAGTTGCACGGTTTCAGCTCCAAAACTCATCCAAGTAGAACTCCCTCAAGTTGAGACGAAAAGCGCAATGGATGAATGACACCAAAATACGCGAAACACATCTTCAAAGAAAGGTCGCTGACTCCGTTCCGCTCATGTGTCCGCTCGGCTCCTTGTGAAGCTTCACGGCCACCTGTAGCGGTCACCAAGCAGTCTGAAATGGATAAAACGCTTTTCATAAGTCGAAGCACCCAGGAGACCCAACGAGCTTCAAGGATCTGCTCACATCGAAGTCTTGCTCTAAACGGTTGTTCTTCAGCAAAACGGAGCTACCATATCCTCAAGTGCGGACGAGAATGATGAATGCAAACGACGTGAACATCAAAACGGATAAGCCACGAACATCCCAATTCTCCGAAGCGCAGTTTCTTCTCGCGGCACGCGGAGTTGGGGAATCGGTCGGTTGTCGGACGCTTCGCATGGGAGACGATAGCTTGTTGCCAACGGGGGGAGGGGGCCTTTGTGTTGCCAAAGCTGCGTGTTTTTGGGGTGTGCATTTAAACTTGGGACTGGGGCGCACCACGGCGTTCGAAAGGGATCTATGAAGCAAAAGCTGAAAACAGCCGGGGTCCGCCACCGAGAGGTGCGAATCGGAGCCGGTCAGATCACTTCAGAGCGTCAACGGCGTGGAAGTGAAAGAAACGGGCCAGATTCTATCTGGCAGCACTGTACACTGGGGCCGTCGAAGTGGAACATATGCTGGTTTCATAACCATTTACGGTGTTTTGAAGTGACGCAGCGTCGTTGGTTCCGTCGTGTTTAGGGCGACCGTTCGATCCTGCGACGCGATAGGAGAAGCTCGGCTCGGCCACCAAGGCTCCGGTCAGCCCCACGAAGCCGAGGAACAACCAAAACCTGGCCTCAGCCACCACAAGCTGGCACAAAACTGTTTCAAGTGCAATTCTAAGACCGGTAAACCCTTGCAGCTGAAATGGATGCGTTTTCTCTGTTTGGGTTTCCTCTGCGGCTGAGCTGCGATGGACCTCATCTCAAAGACCAATTCTGGAGATGCTGGTGCAATTGCGCCAGGCCTGCAGGCAGCAAAGTGGGTAGATTATGATTTTTTTGTCCGTTAGGCTGCCGACCCTTGCCAAAACCATCCACCCAAAAAGAAATCAAGGCAAAATTGATGCGTGGTTTCGGAAAGAAGTTAGATCGCATGAGCAGGTCCCGGTCACGGAGCACAGCAAGCGAGTTTCAATAACAGAAAAGGAAAAGGGCCGCCTCCGGTCAGGCAAAATCCACTTCAACCAAGCGACTTGTCTTCAAAAGCTGCGCTGGCCACACCTGACGAATTCAGGCAGTGTGTTTTATTGATATATGTTCCGCCCTGACTAAGATTCGAATTCACTGGGTGCTCTAGGAAAATTGTTGGTTTGGCCCTGGCCTCTGTAAGAACCGCCAGATGGTCTTGCGGCTCCTGGCTTCAAACGAACCTCGAGTAAGAAGTCATTCCCTCTAATTATCAATTGTTTCCTGACTTGCTCCCACAAACGCCACCCTGAACTGCGTAAGGTGTAAATATGGTATGAACAACAATTTAAATGTCAAATCTTCACTGCAAGGAAACCATGGGGGCAGCATTCTATTGAAAATGACTTGCCGTCGGCATCTTCACATACCAGTTCTTGACCAAATTTGCGCCTTTCCATTTGTGGATATATGATTTGCACTCAAACGTGTCCGTTTCGAGGAAGTTATTGCAAACCCATGTGAGCGTACAAGTTGTGTAAGGACTGTCGTTCTGACACGTGTTTGCAACTTGTTGGCGCCGCGGAAATTCATCTGCGGCGGTGCTGAATTTATTGACGTCTTGCTGTGCATTGCACAGCTGTGTCACTGCTTTGGCCGCACGACTTGGTTGTGTGGGCGGGCCACACATCGGCCAAATCGAACACAACCTTATTCAAGATGCACTTCGATAAACCATTGGACATACATTGACATGTGTGCCCGCGCGACCCATTCTTTTCAAAGGGAGCACGCATTCTTTGCCACACACCCTTGAACTGCGAGGGTTTAGGGTTTAGGGTTTAAAGTTTAGACTCAGTTTAGACCCCTTCTTGGTTTCGCTGCGCGATTTGCTGATCATGACCCAAAACGCCGTGATGACCCTGGCAGTGTTAATAAGTCATGTTTGAAAAGACTTCGGATGGCCGTGCTAAAATCCAATCACTCCAACTGCTTTATTGACCAATCTGACGGTGCCGGACCACTCTGGTGAATGTGCCTGACATCGTCCAACCACGGTTTGGTTGGAGATGCACGAAGATCAAAACAAATTCGGAGGGGCTGCCGGTGGAGCCTCAGCACTCTGTACATCACGTCATTACAAAATCGCCGTATGCCTGTTAAAGAGGAACCATGTGCATCACAAAAGGCTATTGTTAAAAGAGCACGTGGACAATTATGATGGGGTTTTCTGAAAAGACAGTGTAGGGCATCTTTGAGTGCGATTGACCGGAACTATGTCGTCGTTGGTCATGTGTGGGTTGCGGGGCGCTTGGGTGGGGAAGAACTTACTAGGCTGGATTACGTTTTTTGTGCGATCGTTCCTTTGTTGTGCGCAAGCCCTCCCAAAACCACCCCCTCACACAACGCACAACCCGTATGCATAGCAGCGCTCTTTGCGCCCAGTGCCTGCCCCGGCTACCAGACATGCAAAGCGCCACACCTGCACGCACAATGCCCGCAGTGCTGGATGCTTTCCGGCTCGTTCAAACCACCACTTTTGGCAGACTGCGCATTAAGAAACTAAAGGCCACACCCACATGCTACGCCGCAATCGCGCGGCCTCAGTTTTCACATGGACAAAACTGGCAGGACGGGACGCGAAAGCGACAAAAAACATCCATATACCAAAAATTCTTGAAGTTGATACGGTTGGTTCGATGTGTACAAAACCAGCTCAAAAACGGACAGCGTTACGGTAGGCGTCTGGCCAGTCACTGCAGTGGGCCCATTGTTCCCGAAACGTGTACTCACCTCGTCGCAACCAAATTTGACGCAAGGGCAGGCAGGCCGTTGAGGCCGGCCAATTTCAAGTACACAATGACATGGTAACAGCTGGGTCTGCACAACTCAGCCACACGCCAGGCCACAATATGAGAAAATGCGACATCGCACTACATTTGGAGCCATGATGCAGCGGCCACATTCATTACAATCGTTTTCCATTCGCAACAAAGCAACAGGACCCAAAAGAAACAAGTACGTAGCGCCGCTCCTGAACTGCCGGAAACAAGGAAAACAAAAACAAGGTGCCACCTGCATTGAATGACCGGTCGGTATCACAAATTGAGGTCGAAAAACCACAGAGGGTGGTGTCATGGGCGGGCTGGCTGGTTTGCTGGCTGGGACGGCATCTTCTTGTTTTTTCCGCATTTGTATTTTTGACTGCTGCAAGTCGTGGGGGTGACGGTTTTTATACTGGCCAGTCTTCAAATGTGCAAGGGCAACTGACGTTTTTATACTGGCCAGTTTCCAATGTGCAAAATCCAATTAGGTGCGGGGGTGGGGGGAAGAAGGCTGGTGGTTGGGTTGTCGTCCAAAGAAATGTATGCATTGACATGGGGCACTTTAGGCACCGCGTTGCCAAAATACCGCATTTGTCTAGAATGCAGTTTTTTTTTCTCGCATCCGGAGCAGCGGCGACGAGGTGAGACGGAAAGCCGGTCCGGGAACTATGTACACTGGAGCAAGCGCGCGTCCTGCGTGAGGTCAGACAGGACGGCGGGGGCGGGCGGCGCGCCGCCCCCCTGCTCCGGAAGTTCCAGCAGCGTGGTGGCCAGGCTGCCCTGCGCCGCCAGGGAGAGGAGGCTCCCCCAGCGATGGTGCAGGGCGGCGCGAAGGCCGGGACGCTGCCACGGTGGGGCCGCTTGCGCACGACCGGCCGCGAGGACCCGGAGGAAGTGCTCACAGTCGTCACCCCGCCGGCCGCCGGTCTCAAGGGCGAGGACGGCGAGCCGGGCGCGGGGAGCCTGAGCAAATTCGGGGTAAGTCTCGCGGCGCTTGCGCGCAGCGGCGTCGGCTGCGGCGGCCCCAGGCTCGGCGGCGCAGCGGGCACGGGCCGTGCCATCCCTGGCGACCGGCGAAACCAGGGTCACGTCGACGGCGACCTGCGCACCCTGATGCCCGGGGAGGCCGTTAGCGACGACCTCAAGGCAGCGCCCGTCGGTGAGGGGTGTGCCAATGTTGAGGTCCCGGAGGAAGACATTGGCGGCGACACGCGCACCGGCCTCACGACAGATCGCGGCGGCGGCGCGCTCGAGGGCGGCCGCGCGGCGCACGAGCACCCCCGCGGTGGGGCAAGCGGCGCGGTGGTCACCGAGTGGATCCAAGGCACCGCCACAGCGGCAGAGCCGCGGCGTTGGCGGCAGCGGCAAACGTAAGCGGCGCAGAAGCAGCACCCGGAACTGCTCGGCTGGCAGACGGTACTCAGGTCGCGACGGGAGCACCGTCAAGGCCGCCGCGCCGCCTGCGCCGCCTTGGGACAGAAGCAGGGCCCGAGATGCAGGATCGAGCACAGAGAAGTGCACCTCAAGGGCTTGTCTGTCCAAGGCGGCGGTGGCGGCGCGCTGCCAACCGCGGGTGGGGTCGCCGAAACTAGCGCCGGCTCCGGAATCCAGGCCACTCGCGAGCGCGACCCATGATGGCGGCGCCCATCCAGGGGTGTGCAGCGCGGCCGCGGCCAGGCGGGCGGCTTGCGTGCCGGGCAGGCCCGGTGCCCCAAGCTCGGCGGCCAACTCGGGGAGGACCCGCGCGAGGAGGAGGGGGTGCCGCGCGCCGATCACGGGGAGCGAGTCGGCCCAAGAGGCCCAGTGCGCGGCGCTGCGCGTCGCCAGGGCGGAGCGCAGCCCCAGCCCCCCCATATGCAGGGGGAGCTGGGCCTGGGAGACAGGGCCTGGGGCCAGGGCGGAGGGGGCGCTCGCTGGTGCCCCGAGCAGCCGAGTGAGGCACTGCAGCACGGCGGCGTCGTGCCCCGCGGCAAACGCGCCCGTGTCTGCCGGCGGCAGGGCGCGCAGCAGGTAGTTGCAGCGGGGGAGGCTGCAAAGGAGGAGGAGCAGCCACGCTGACTGCAAGCAGGGGACCGTGGGGACCCGGTCCAGGAGCAGATCGTGGCGGGCGCGCACGTCGTGCAAGTGGCTGGCCACGAACGCGGGGCTGCCAAGGGGGGTGCCCAGCACGACGAGGCCCTGGGCATCGGGTGGCTGAGCCCAATTGCCAGCCCAGGCAGTGGGCCGGGCGTCAGGAGGCAGCGCATCCAAGAGCGCGGTGGGCTCTTCACCGGCGGCGTTCCAGGCCCGGGTTTTGCCCAAGTGCACATGCACGTTGGCGCGGTCGCGTAAGGCGGCCCGGAGCGCGCCGAATACGGCGCCCACCCGATCGGGGGCGCAAGTAGCGTACACATCGTCCAAGTAGGCGTAGAGGTGTTCCCCGGGCTGCAGGGCAGAGTGGGCCTCGAGGAGGGCGGCGTGCTGGCCCACGGCGTAGAGGGCGGGCATCAAAGGGTCCCCCTGCTCGCCCCCCTCTCCCTGCCAGACATCGTGGGGCGCACCGTGCTCGTCGTAGAAGGTATAGCGGCTAGGGGCGCCGTAGAACTGGGACACGAAGGGGAGGAGGGGCGCGACCCGGGCATCCCGCAAGCCGAGGAACATGCTAGCACGCGAGATGTGGTCGTAGGCCCCAACCCCATCGATGCTCAGGACCGTGGTGCGGGGGTCCAACTCAGTGGCCAGCCGGATGGCGCGGGCGAGGGACTCCGTGCCCGCGCGCGCGGCCAGGGCATACTGGAAAGGCGCGCACACCTCCGCGAACCGGCCGGCAAACTGCTGGGCCAGCGTTTTGGCCACCAACCGGCGAAATGCGTCCCCCATAACAAGACCGCGGACGCCGCCCGCCGGCTTTTGGAGGGCGACCAAGCGCCCCAGGCGCAGGGCCGCGAGGGCCTCGGGGGGCACCTCGGCCCGGGCCAAGCGGTCGGCGGCAAAGCACAGCAGGTCGAGAGACTCCGCGTCGTCCAGCAGGACGCGGAGGTGCTCTGGCGTGCAGCCAGAAAGGCCCGGGGCAGCACCGCGGCGACCGCGGCGGAGGTTGGCAAGGAGCCGAGCGTGGTCGACACCAAAGCCCGCCGTCTCGCGTCCGAGCGCGGGCGGGGCCGGCAGCGGGACCTGAGGGCTGGGTGGCCGCCGGGCAGGGTCGCGGAGCTCGGCAAGGGTCGCTGCAGTGGCCGGCGCGAGGGCTGGAGCAGTGAGCGCGGCGGCCGCGGCGGACAGTTCACCCATGTGGGCCAGGGCAGCAGCCCGCGCAGCCCGCCTCTCCAGGCAGTCACCTCGTGGTGCAGGGCTGGCCACGGGGGCCAAGGCGGCAGCGGCGGCAGCCTGGTCTAGGAGGTCGGCGTAGGCACCGCGCGCGAGGAGTGCTGCCCGTTCCTCCAAGGCGTCGTGGGCGACGCGGGTCTCGCCACGACGACGGAAGAGCAGCATGCGGGGCGCGAGGAGGAACAGGCCCCAGCCGGCCGGGGAGTCAGGGTCGTCCCGTATTCGGGCGAGCCCTGCATGCAGCGCGGCGCGAAGCGCCCCTCGAAGGAAAGGCGGGGGCGCTTGCAAGGTGTAAACGCGCCGCTGGAACTCATCCGCGAGGTCGCGTGTCGCCCAAAGGGCGTCAGCGCGCGAGTCGGGGCGTGGGGGTGGAGGACTGGTGCGCGGAGCGCGGGCCCGAGGGCGGCGGGCGCGGCGCCGGGGGGCCGCGGCGGCGGCGACCTCGCTGAGAACATCCGCCTCAGGGGCAGGGGCCGCTCCACGGTCCGTGGGAGGCACCGGGGCGGGAGGCGCGCAAAGGTGGCGCGCGCCCTCGGCGATCTCGGACGCCAGGCGGTCACCGCCATAGACGCACAACAGTGCCTCTTGAACCGCAGGGGCCAAGTAGCCATCCGCCCGGGCGAGGGCTTCGACCGCGAACGCGAGGGTGCAAAGGGAGTCGCCCTGGAGGCCGCGAAATGGCCGCTCCGGCCACACGAACGGCCGGCCCTCAGCAGCACTGTGCACAAGGACCGCCGCGTGGAGGCTAGTCAAGGGTTGGGGGCAGGCAGCGCGGAGGGCGCCCACCCACTGTCCCCATACCGGACCGAAGGCGGCATGCGCGCGCCAGGCGGCCTGCGCTGCGTCGGAAGACGCCCCGGCCGCATCGTGCAGCAAAGGCACGTAGACCCAGGAGCGAGGAGCAGTCTGGAGTGGGAGAGGGTCTGGCGGCCCCTGTGTCACCCAGAGGGCAGGCCGGCAGTGATCCGGCCCGCCACGCGGGGTGTGGAAGTCAGGGGACTCGGGTCGCCGGGACGGTGGCGCTGGGTGGGGGACCAAGCCCGCTCGGCGGAGTTCGGACAAGGCGCGCTCGCGTCGCTCGGTGGCAGGCGCCGGGGGGCTGGGGTGGGAAGCTTCTCCTACTCGGACGCCCGCCCATGCATGCGTGGGGCGCGTAACGGCGGTCGGCGCGCCTACGCAAAAACGAGTCCGGGCTGTCCAAGCTGGAAGGCGCTCTTTTTGACGCCCCCGCGGCGGTGCAAAAAAACGGGCGGGGCTGGCTGGCTCAGCATCAGCGGCCGCGGCCTGTCCGCAGCGCGGCAGCCGCGGCGGCGGCGGCAGCAGCTTGCGCCGCCCGCAGCACCACATCGTCAGCCGCGGCAGCAGGTGGTGGCCCCCGGCGACGGCCGTGGCCAGGTCCTTTCCCTTTGCCCTTGCCCTTGCGGTTCTGATGCCCGCCCGGTCGCGCGGGCGGGCTCTGGCTGCGCCGCGGCGACCGGGTGCGGCTGCGGCTGCGGGGGCTCGGCGGCGGGCCGCGCGCCAAGGCTTCGATGGCGTCGGCGACGCCCTCCAGCAGGCCAGCGACCGGGCGGGCAGTCCAGGCGGGCAGCGCCGCGGAGACCACCAGGCTTTGCAGCCGCCGCACCTCATCGCACAGGACGCAAGGGCCGCCCTCGCCAAGGGCGGGCCGCGTCTTGCAGCAGGGGCAGGTGGCCATGGCGGCGGCGGCGGAGCGGGGGCCGGCGGCGAGACAGGCAAGGTCGGAAAACGGCTGCAGAGGTACCAGCGCAGTCGCCCAGCGCGCGCGCGTCCGGTCCCACGTCGTCCA